GTTCACGTCACGCACAGCAATTTTTCCCATTAATTTAGCAACCTCACTTTCCTTACCTACATTATCTTATCTTAATAATATTATTATTTAATTAATCATGTTTTGTACGTGTATTAGATTATATTAATGCTTAATAATTTTTTAAACATTTGACTTTGCCTTGGCTTATCAGATCCTAAACCAAATAAACAATTATATTAACAACAAATAAACAATAATCGGTAACAAGTATTAAAAACCCTAATGAGCGATCCTCCCCTCCCCAAAAAGCAACGCTGCCGAGATACGACTATTTTTAGTCAAGTTTTCTGCGCGGTCTGACTACCTGAAGGTTCTCTCGGATGGCCCCTGGACAATATATGGTCATTACCTCACTGTAGAGTCATGGTCCTGATGTTTGTGTTTTTGTTGAAGCTCGTACTAGTGGCCACAAGGCAACTTCTGTCATCCATGAACTGGGTTTTCCTAATTCTTTTAGAGTGGAAGCTAGTGGGTTTTCCGGCGGCATTTACTCTACTGGTATGACCACGTCTGCATGGAGATTCTCAATTGCCACTTCTAGTTTATCCATTGTCGTATCTCGAAGATCAGCCATAGAAATTCTTGCCTCATGTCTTTGGTGTATACTAGCCCAGATTATCGTAAAAGGAAGTTTTTTTAGGACAACTTAAAATCTCTTGCTTCCTCCATCTCGGAACCGTGGGCTATAATAGGTTATTTTATTGCTACGTTACTGCCAGAGGATCGAAAAGGTGGTGCTCGCTCCTCTAAATGTGATGTGGATTTTCAAGACATGGTCTTTGACTGCGGACTCCACGACCTCGATTACCAAGGCCAGGATTTCACCTGGTATCGGGGTAGTTGTTACGTCCGCCTTGACCGTTGTCTTTGTAATGCTCTTTGGCTCGAAAGATACCCCATGACTCCCCTTCAACACCTTCTGCGCATGAAATCAAATCACCGGCCATTACTCTTAAATATAAAAAAGTCTCCTCCCAACTTACAACGGAAGACTTTCAAGTATTTTTCTGGTTGGACCGCCTATCAAGACTTTGACAGATTTGTTCGGGAAAACTGGAATTTCCTCCTCCCTATTTCGGATGTCATTGAATCTTTCTCCATTGCAGCAGAAAACTGGAACCACAATGTGTTCGTTCGATCCATAAGAACAAGAAGGTCTTAATGGCTCGACTACGGGGGGGTTTCAACGTTGTCTTAACAATCGACACACCAAAAGCAAGGAAAAACTCGAACATAAATTGCTTCAAGAAATTGAATCTGTGCTTGATCTTGAAGAACAACTATGGAAACAGAAATCTAGAGTTGAATGGATTACCTTTGGCGATAGAAATACAAAGTTTTTTTCATTCCAAAGCGACCAGACGACGCTCCAACACCATCCACATGCTCAAATCTAATAACGGAGAATGCTGTAATGACCCCGCCACTCTTCGTGACGATGTTGCCTCCTTCTTTGAAGACCTATTCACTTTCGATATTCCTCGCCATGGTTCTGTTCCCCTTACTGGCTCCTTTCTGCCCATCCCTGCTGCTGATTATAACTCGCTTGTTAGAAATATGATATAATAGAATGTAATTAGTTAGTATTGAGTTAGTCAAAGTTAACTGAGTTTGTTAAAAGTTGGTTAGTTTGTTAGATCAAGTTGTTAAACTTGGTTTAGTGGTGCTATATAGGTGATGTTTGTAATGGGTTAAAGACTCAAGTATTTTGTAATTCATTTCTTCACATTTAGTAAACAAAGTTGCCTCTTTCACAGCTTCTCATCTTCATTCACTGTCATTTACCTTCCTTCATCTTCTGGTTATTATGTCTCCTTTCTCACATGGTATCATTCGCTAAAAAGATCCTGACACCATTTTTTTCCCGCTGTTGCACCATCGGACTCCTTTCTCTCACGCTGTTGCTGCCACAGTGAGATTGCTATTCCACCGTCATTGACAGTATTGCTGTTTCGATCATTAAGCGCCACTCTTGCATCAACGAGCTACTTTATTCTTCCTTGACATCGATTTTTCTGTCGGCAGTTTCGAATGTGAATCAGTTTCACTGTCGGAATTCATCTTTTGATGAGTGTGACTGGTGATGTGTTCTTAATTTTTTGGCTTGATTAATATCTTATTTTCGTTCTTGATAGTGTGGTTTCATCAACTGTTTGCCAATGGTTGGTGTTGTTATAGTTTCCCACTCTATCTGTCACTTTGATTCCTGGTTGTTCTGCGCTTCTCTGCTTCAATTGAGCTTGCTGAATAATCATACATTTTGAACGATTCAATTGATCCTCTAGTGTTTGGTAAGTGACAAGGAAATTGCAGTTTTTTTTGTGTGCATGCCTCCAATGTGTTCGACTAAATACTTCAGTGATGTTACTGTGAGTCCAATTCTTTGCTGTCGTTGAGGACAAGTTTTGTTATGTGTTGCATTGCTGGTTGGAAACTAGTGTTGTAAGTTGATGTTGAATAATGGCCATTGGTACGATGTTGCTTTGCTCAGCTATTGACATTTTAGTTTCTACAGTGACTGTTATTTCTTCTCCAAAGTTTGACATGGAACTTGAAAGCTTAACAACTAAGTTACCATAGAAGAAAATATATGGGAAGAGTCAAGTGTTTAACAGCCTTGTTCTCCTTAACCAGACAAAATAGGGTGTTTTCTTGCTCAAGAGAAGCCTCAGATTACACTCTGGAGCTTGTAGTTTAACAGCCTTGCTTCCAATAAAAAGATTGACCAAATAAGTAAAGAAGAATGACAGTAAAGATGAAGAACAAGGGAAAAACTATTAAAGAAAAGAGAGCTGAAGAAAGCTTCTTTCAACGAAAAAAAAATTGTTCAGTGTACATGAATTCTAGCTCACAGTTCTAACTCTCTAGGCTTGCAACATTGTTCGATCAACTCTCAAATCACAAAGTGAATTTCAAGAAGGGCGTAGAAGCAAGGTGAATAAAGGAAAAAGAAGAAGAAGACACTATTTTCTTTTGGATGCCATGCTAATTCCCCCCCCCAAGAAGATCAAGAAGAAGAAGCAGAAAGAATGTTAGAAATATGATATAATAGAATGTAATTAGTTAGTATTGAGTTAGTCAAAGTTAACTGAGTTTGTTAAAGGTTGGTTAGTTTGTTAGATCAGGTTGTTAAACTTGGTTTAGTGGTGCTATATAAGTGATGTTTGTAATGGGTTAAAGACTCAAGTATTTTGTAATTCATTTCTTCACATTTAGTAAACAGAGTTGCCTCTTTCACAGCTTCTCTTCTTTATTCACTGTCATTTACCTTCCTTCATCTTCTGGTTATTATGTCTCCTTTCTCACATCGCTCACGGCCCTCATCTCGGATGAAGAAATAAAAAATAGCCTCTTCGCTATGGAGCCCCTTAAAGTACCCGACATTGATGGAATATATTCCCACTTTTACTAGAAAAATTGGAATATTGTTAGACATTCGGTTTGCACACTATGATCAAAGATTTTTTCAGTGGTGGCAACCTTGACCCTCAGCTAAACCGCACTGCTTTAGCCCTTATTCCCAAGATCCACAATCCATCTTCTTTTGTAGACTTCAGGCCTATTAGCCTGTGCTCTGATATTTACAAGCTTGTCTACAATATCTACAATATCATCATCAATCAAGAGATCATACACTCTACGAATGTTAAGAAAGGTAAATCCGGCTGGATGACGATCAAAGCCGACTTTCAGAAGGCTTTCGATCGACTTCTATGAAATTTTATAAGAGATACTTTAATAGACGCATGTCTCCCAACTCTACTCATCCGTCAAATAATGCATTGCATCACCTCTCCAACAATGCAAGTTCAATGGAATGGAAGTCTCAGTCGATCTTTCTCTCCAAAAAGAGGCATCCATCAAGGAGACCCTTTGTCTCCATATCTCTTTATCTTGACGATGGAGTGTCTTAGTCACTGTATACACCACGCTATTGCCTTGGGAGAGTAGCATGCTTTCAATCTCGTTCGTAGAGGGACACCACTTTCTCATCTCTTCTTCGCGGATGATTTAATCCTCTATGTGAAATTGATTCCATCCTCAATACTTTTGGCATCCACTCGGCTCACCTGGTTAATTAAAGGAAAACAAAAGTTGGCCACCACCGAGACGTTCCCCACTGTCCCCGACCAAAACCCCTCTGGTTATTCAATGTAAATCTTCGCCGATCATCGTGGGAAGCCTTTTGAAGCTCCGTTGAAAACCTAAAAACCCACCGCTGATATTTTTCACAATTTTGGCCACCACATACGTTTGTAGGTCGCACTGTCGCCACTACTGTGACCATCATCCACCCGTGAAAAAAACCCAACCACCCTCATACCGTGAATGGTCGTCGTTTACCGCGGAGAACAACTTAAAGTTTCGTCGGAAAACACTAAACTACCGCTGTTATTTTCGCGATTTTCACATTGATCCCAAGCACTGTTCGCCTCACCGCCACCTGGTTCCCCGATTTGTTCCGACCAAAATCCAGCCAATATCGTTCCTTCCCGTCGCCATTTCTTCCATCTATCATCGGGGTAAGCTCCGGTTACTTTACATTTAATTTTTGGGTAACCAAAATGCACTGTTCGCCTCACCATCGACTAGATGATAGGAACAACCCTAGACAATATTTTTACATGTGAATCAGTTCAACAACTGTTAATTTTATATAAATTTGGATAAGTATACATTAATTATGTATTCTTATTCTTACTAGATTCTGGAACCGAACAAACAAACATGTATCATAGTTTTGAAAGGACATGTACTTTTTCTTTCTCTAAATTCAGGGGAAACAAGTAAATAAAATTTACTTTTACAGAGTTCGGGCCACCAAACATGGACAGCAGATAGTGCTGCAGAACAGGTAAAACAAGGTAAACTATGCTCATACATTATATTGTAATGCAAGTGATTATAATATATGTAATAAGAATGATATTGTACTAAGAAACCTGATCGATTATATATCCATTTATATGATGCATGCATGGATATTTGCAGAATCATTAGTCGAAATAATTACTAGTGTTTACTGAAACCCGCCTTGTGAAAAACGGATAAAACAAGCTAAATGAAAATGAAACACGGATCATCATGCAGCGGAGGTGGTGGTGGTGGTGGTGGCGATGGCGGAGTTTTTCTTGGCAAGATTGTGCTTGTTGTTGTGCATCCAGACCTTGAGGACTCTTCTCTTGACACCGATCTCTTGGCAGAAGTGTTGCACCACTGATTCTTCTTGCTTTTGGATTTTCCACCCAACTTTCTCTGCAAAGTTGAGCATTTTGTCCTTCTGTTCCTGTGTGAACTTTGTCCTAAACCTTTTCTTCATCAGCTGGAGAGGCCTGCCGCCATCTTCGTCGGACTCTGAAGGGAGGGAGCCCATCATGTTGTAGGACATCATCATCTGGTGGGGCGTTGGTGCCGCTCTCGAATGTACGAGAGTACCCGTAGGGTACCCTAGAGCCTCAGGTGGTAGGATACTCTTGTGGTGGTGGTGGTGACCCAAGAGCAGTTTCCTGCCTTGCAACGGGAAACAATAATCATTCGAAGAGGGCTCGCCTTCTACTTCTTTCCTGTGGAAGTTCCTATGGCAGTGACAGGCGGAGCAAGTCAGTGCTTCGATGGTGCCCTCTTCGCCACTCGGCATGAACTCGCCGCACCCGTCGGTGGCGTTTCCTCCCATGGCGACCGCATGGTTCTTCAGGCACTCACGGTACCTCACCGGTTTCTTGTAGGGCACCACATGGTCTTCTATGAACAAGAAGGAAGAACCATTGGAAGGGCCATGTCCCCCACCATATGTACTGTTCAAAGGAATTGGAATCTCCCCTTCTGGACAGGAAAGTTCCATTTCTAGGTTATTTATTGTATTTAATTAGGGATGATAACCAAACCCTAATTCCTAGGAGTTTTGAGAATAGAAAACAACAATATCCTATCAAGTACTTTGGCACCGAGTCTGAGAACAGAAAACCCTTGTGTTCATGAACGCTCAAATCCCATAACAAAATAATAATAATAAAAGCTTAATAAAGAAGAGGAGACAAAAGAGAAGGGTGACCCACTAAAATGTCCATAATAGGTCAACTGGTAAAGAAGATAAAGAAGCAAACTCAAAATCACCTTGAGCAGACCGATATAATAGTGTTCCAAAAGTGAGCTCAACTGTGTTGACTCGGTGTCTGTCTCCCTTGGGAACTAAGAAAATGATAGCCCAAGGAAGGGAAAGGAAATACGAGTTAACTCAGTATACTAACATAACCATGATGAAGGAGAGAAAAAGGAGGGATTTGCAAGTGATGAAGTGAGGACTAAAGAAGAAGAAGACAGAGAGAAAGAGAAGCAGATTTTCATTTTTTAACAGACAAGGAGGAATCGAGTCAGTTTAAGTGCCGAGAGGAAAGATAAAAAGAAAGCAAAATAAGCTCAAAACAAAACAAAAGTGTGGGTGTGCTTGCTTTGCTTGCACTATCAGCCATTTAGAGAGCACTGTGTCAGAGTGTGCAGACCATAATGGATGGAATTGAAGGGAGAGAAAAATAGTTAAACCCCCGAAATCACGGCAAATTTCATTAAATAATATGATAGAAAAAAATATATCATTTAGGGTGTGGGAGAATTATTTCCACGTAATGTGATTGTTATAGTATATTTTAAAAATATTTGGATGATATAGTGATTTCGAGAATACGTTCGGATGATATAAATTTTTTAAAAATATGTTTAAATAATACAATGTTTTTTAAAATATGTTCGGACGACATAATGTTTAAAAAGACATCCGGACAAAACGATATTGGCAAGACTATAACATTATAAGTTTTTCGATTTGCATATAGTTAGAAGGAGGACTTTATGTTGTCTGAATGGTTATCAAAACCGGATCAGATCGAACATCCTCCCGTGTATATTATAACAATTAGACTAAAATAATTTTCCTCATACCTTACATGATTGTTTTTTTTAATCGCGTTATTTAATTAAAATTTCCCCAAAACACACACGTAAATTTACAGATTATTGATTAAATTTAAGTACTTTAAATATAATTTATTGGTTTAAATTAATATATAATTTTTAGTTTATAATATAAATAACCTAGTTATTGTAAATATTATTGGAATTAAAAATGATTTAATTAAAAAATTTAATAATAAATCTAAATAAATAAAAAAACCCAAACTTTTTATGTACCGTTTGCTTCAGAAAATATTCATTCAGGCACAAGCATCCAAGGATACCATGGTTTAAAAAAAATGTGGTTTAACTTCAGTTAAAAGGCTTCGCCTTGGTTAATCTTGACCGACTAGGATCGTACACCGAATTTTGGTAATTAAGTCTCTCAGCAAGGATTTTTTACATACACAATGACTCGAACCTGAAACCTTACTTAAGTTATATCAAATTGTTTACCACTTAAACCAATCTCGTTGTTACCATAATTCATATTTAGCGTATACTCATCCACTACTCTTCCTTTTCTCTTTTATTTTCACTATAAATATAATACATATTGCAAAATTAGGGTTTAAGTTAACCTTTATTAATTAATATAATAAATAAATAAAAGATTATGTCTAAATCTGATGTACATTTTACATGGGATATTGTGGAATTAATTGGGAGGTGCCATACTTATCATGTGAATTATTTATTATCAACAATCTCATTTTGCCTTTTTTTAACAACATAAAGATTTCAAATATTAAGTTAAAAATCATTTCATATAATTTTTAAATATTAATTAAATATACATTAATAACTATTAAAAACAATGATAATATATATAATATTTTTAAAATAATATTTTATTTATTTATTTTATTGTACACAGTATAGTTGGAGAATTTAGGGTTACCTTTTATTAAAACCATTATTGAAACCACTTTATGGCCCTTGCCTTTATTCCTTGCTCCACCGCATTACACACTTTATCCTCTTTCTTTAATTTATTGTTAATTTTTATAAATATAGAATAAATATAAGATAATATATGTGATATTAAACACTTACATTTAAAATATCTATAATATTCAATAAATAACAATAATTCTTTTACTGTTTCTTTTCTTTTCTCTTCTTTTACTAACTCTTTCTCTCCTCTTATTTTTTTCATTTCTTCTTTTCATGGATTAGTATCAATAACCCCACATTTAAAACATAAAAATATTAGGGTAAATTACATATTTAATACCATAATTATTTTTTTTTATTTTAATCATTCAATTATTTTTTTCGTCTATTTTTGTTAAAAAATTAATGATGATGCTGATATATTACCATAAGGTGATGATACATCATCATTTGTTTTTAAAATATAACCTCAACAGTTTTGTTAAGTTTTTAACGCATATAATTAAATTTTTTAATGATGGATAACCAAAACGAAATTAAAATGTAACATTAGGTATGGTTTCGAAAGAAAATAATAGTTGAATGATAAAAACAGAACAAAAGTGATAGTTTGGATACTATACTTGTAGTTTACCCAAATATTAACAAGGAATTTTTATTATGATTTTAAATATAAATTGTAAGTTGGCTGGGGAGGGTCTACAGACATAAATGCATGTTGATGACAGAGGGCTTGATCACAATTTTCAAGAAATTGTGAACCAAGAATTATCTTTCTTTTAGGGAGGAGTGGAAAACATAAATCCATCAATCCCAATCACTGCCCCCCTAAATTCTATGTGAATCATTTACTGCTTACAATTTTCTTACAAGACTTTTGATTTTTAAACATAATTATATTATTATTTTAGGGTTTTTTAAAGGAGTAATGCATGTAACAACAAAGAAATTTTAATTTGGGATAAAAAAATTATATATATTAATTTGTTATGGTAAATTTAAAAAAAATAATGAGAACAAATTTATAAAATTTTAAGGATAAAATAAATTTCAATAAAAATATATGAAAAAAATTTAAAATATAAAAAATTAGAAATTTCAAAGAGACTATCTCTGCTCACTCCTTCGACTCATTCCTGTATATGATTACTATAGTAAAAGGTGTACTAATCGTTCTAACATGATAAATTTAAAAAAAAAATTAAAAGCATCGTTCAGTAAGATAAATTCGAGTGAAAATCTCAAAAAAAATATTCTTAGAACGATTAAATTTTAAATAATATATTTTTTAGAACTCGTCGCAAGTATCGACGAGTTTATCATCCGCAGTAAAAATCACTTATATTTGATTTTTTTTCTCGACGACTGTATTCTTGATCTATTCATTAGAATATACCTAGCCCTTGACCCTCACGTACATATTATTTTTAATTATTTACAATATTTTAACCTCAATAAGAAATATTTTGGATCACAAAGAACAAGCTTTTGTTCTTCATGATAATAGATTCAAAAGTTATGGATCTTATTTATTATAATATGGTGAGGGTGAGACCAAGGGAGGATTTGTCTTCAATCAAAACAACACAACATAAAGTTGTCCCTCACATTAGGGAGGATTCTCTTTTTTAGTTTTATCTTCAATCAAATATTTTTAATTTAAATATTATTATATTCAACCTAAAAAGTATATAATTTATAAACTTTTTACTTCAACCAAAAAAATTATATTGTGATGGGTTTAGGGTTATAACTGAAAAAGTTATACAACTTGTAATAATTTTGATTGTAACCGGAAATGTTATGAAGAATGTAATATTTTAAGTTTCAACCTAAAATGTTATCATGTCCAACTTAAAAGTTATGCTTTACTATTTTGTTGCAATCGTTTTATGCACTTTTTTAGCCAATATTAACAAGTTGTATTTTAGACTCTCTCAAATATGTTGGGTCCTTATATTATACATTCATGAGCTATTTAACCCGAGTATTTTTTCTTTAATAGTTTAGAGTGATTATAAGATAATATATGTTCAAAAATTTTCTTAACTTTTTGACAACATAACGTACCCAACTTATACAGCTATTCAAACATAATCATCTAGGAAGAACTACATTCTCTTTCATTACTGAGGTCGTTCGACGATACAACCAAACCGCTTAATGTTTAATCCTTTATATTTTATGAACTTTTTTCTCCTCCTTAGGGTTCATGTTGGTGTTCCTTGTTAAAACTTGGATATAAAAATGTTCCTTAAGCTTTAAATACAGCAATCATTATGCCTTGCCTCATTTTTCACTCATTGCTATTTAAATGCTTTCTTCAAACCCTATATTTTCGTGGCAGCTTTGATCATTAGTTTACTTTTTTTTTGTACATGTCGAAATATAAATTTATTATTTTCAATTGAGTACTCGAACTTGACTTTTTTTTATTTAAATTTGTAAATTTGGTATCAAATTGAAAATTAAAATCAAGGTTGTTTGCTTCACATGCAGTTCATATTCATAGTTCATGGACCAAAGTAACATGAATTTGGTGGACAAAATCCCTGGAATTTTTTAATCCAAGCAAAGAGATCTCTCAGAAAAAAGCCTGAAACATATCATATGCAGTTTTATTACGACCAACCCTAACTCTTCAGAGAAGATATTTCCCACCATTTTCTTGCCCTCTTATTACATAGAAAAAGAGATGATGATAACAACGTACGTATGATTTTATATTAGAGGTTAATTTTATAAAATTTTAAGAGGAAAATAAAATTTATTGAATTTAGTGGTTAAAGGGGATTTTTTTATTAATGTTTGGGGGTTGAACAGTTGCGTCAGCATGTTTTGTATGCACGGTCAATGGTTAAGAAAAATTATTAGCATATATTATCTCGTAAAATCATCATAGTTTATTTTAAAAAAATAAGAAGAAAACAGAAATATATTATCAATAGAAAATATAAAAAAATATTTAAATTATACGTAAATTTAAATTAAAAAAACAACTGTGAATCCCTTTAATACATCCCGGATGAAGTCTATGTTGGGCTCGTGATAAAAGGGCACACGCATGCAGTACATATTGTTTTTGATTTGAGCTTTGAATTTAAAGGAAACAAAAGGCAAAAAGAGTAGCCATTATCATGACATAAAAGACGTGAAGGGCAAATAACATTGAGATTGGTTCACGGAATGTAAGATTATCGATGAAAATAAGATTAGCGGGAATATTGTATTTTGTGTTTGATTCGTTTAGCATGAATGTAAGATTATAGTGTTTGGTTAAATGAATAAAAGATTATTGAAATGTATATTTTACCAAATTGTCCTTATTATATATTTATTTTTTTAACAAGTTAAATTCTACTATAATTTTACTATAATTAATTTTTATATTTTATTTAAAAAATTTAAATTCATAAAATTTATATATATATTTTTTACAAAATTGAAAAGATAAATAAGTTTAATGAAATGGTAAAATTTTATTTTAACTCCTGAATTTCATATAAAATTATAATTATGGAATTTATTTGTAAATATAAAATAGTTTAAGGATAAATTTGT